CTGCCGCTTGCTGCCCTGCATATTTTACTTCAGAATTTAAGGGAGGCATGTTTTAATCTGCTTTCACTTTATTCTTGTTGTTAATTTTTTGAATGCTTTGAAATGGTCAGTTCTTCTTGTTGATCTTTTTTTTAAAAAAACTGTTTTCCATCTCTTGCGAACTTTTTGAGGTTTGCTTTTTGCTTTTTTATTTTATTTTTTACAATCAGCCTGGATAGCTCAGTTGGTAAGAGCTCGGTGCGGATAACACCAAGGTTGCTGCAGCTTCGATCCCTGTATGGGACAGCCAGTGCCGGGTTTACGTATAAGCTAAACAACTATAGCTTGGAGCCCCACTCTCTTGCCCCCCCCCCCATATTTCACTATTAATATACTTCTTCTTAATTGTATTTCAGTTCAACAATTGCTTTTATAAAAGACATATTTTGTTATGTGCAAATGGCTTTAGATACCTGTTAGGTCCATAAATTACCATATAGCATATATTCAACACAAAAAACAGTGACAATTTGTTGTTGACAAAGGACAGCTGGACATCTAAAGGGCCCCATTACCTTCAGTAGCTTAGGGCATCATCAAACCTAAATCTGGCCCTGGGACAGTCCTGCATTGGACTGAATTATCCTTGGGATCCCTTGCAACTCTGTAATTCTAAGTGGTACATATATAGATCCTATTAAATGAATGCGTGGGTAGATGACTTGTGTTGCAAGTAGTCCGTGCAGGAGGAGAAAGGTATCAGTGGCTGGTGGCTGTGATTTATTTTATGTATTTATTGAATTTATATACCACCCCATACTAAGGTCACTAGGTTTTTCCCAATGAATCCTGGGACACTTTTCAACTTCCTACTAAATAGATGGATTTTGTGAGGGGACTGATTTGTAAATCTGGGGACTGTCCCTGAGAAACGGGGACGTCTGGTAACCTTACCCCATACCCAGGGGTCTCAGGGCAGTTCACAGAATAAAATCAAGATATAAAGCCACAAAATGCATAAAAATAAAAACAACAACCTAATAGCCCCCCCCCAATGATGGCTATATTCTGCTTCTACTGTTGGATGCAGTATGCCTTTGTGAATGCAATTTGCTGCAGAGAGCCCTGTAGTACCCATGTCCTGCTTGCAGGCTTCTCCTTGACATCTGGTATTCCAATTCCTGTTTATCTCGGTACATATGGAAATCTGTCTAGAAATCAGCTTTGGCCTTTTAACTGACTTTTCCTTGAACATCTACCTTTAGAAGTCCATTCTAAAATGGTCACCTAGAACTAAACTCTTGATCTCTTAACGGTGAAGCTAAATATCTTAAGCATGCTGACAAAATTAGTTTAGAAATTCTTGCATTTCACTCTTCTATGGCTGGCCACACTGAAAACAGAATTAGTTTTAATTGTTTTATTGAATTGCATAGTTTTTAATTTTTAATTTGCATTGCAAACCACCAGAGAGATAAAGAATATTATGAGAGCGGTATATAAATGTGAGGTAGCAGAAAGATGCACCCCTTTTGAGAAAGAACACTCCGGGCTGCCGCACCACCTATGAAAGAGCTCAGCCACTGGCTGGAATGAGTGGTAACAGTGCTGAAAAGGGCCATCTCTGCTCTCTTGTCCGTGCTCTCTCTATCTGGATGATATTAGGTCTGCTGTAGTGGGAGGAGGATGCTGGCAAAAAATCCTACAAAGCCTGGGTTTGGCCCTGCCGTGCAGCAGTTACAAAAGTGCTGTCTTTGAAAATAAAAGGCCAGCAGCACCGCTGGTTGGTGAATGAGGCACGGGTATAATTCCACACATAAAAAGAGTAACACATATCCTTTCAAAATCCATGGTTGGGCAACGTCTCTGTTGGGGATGGGAACAACCAGAATGTCACAAATGAACATATTTAGCATAGCTTGTAGCATGGCATGGCCCTTAATGTTCATATATATGTATTTTGGATAAGACCAGACCGGGGGGGGGGGATTTTTTGCCCTCCAGGTATTTCTGAACTACAGCTCCCATCAGCCCTAGCAAGTATGGGGTGTGGTCAGGAATGATGGGAGTTGTAGTTTAGCAACATTGCCAAATATTCCCAAACCGGGATAAGACAACACATATTAAACTTTGAGATACTGTACCAATGAGGAGTAAAACTGAAGAACAGCAAGTCACAGGCCCCCGCCTCTGGACACATTTTCTTATTGTGCATTCAATTCATCAAAACTATTTCTTACCTGAAATTAGATTTTGTTAGCTTTTCCATACCCACACTAACTATGGACATATACTGTGCCAGAGCAGGGGTGTGTCAAAATGAACTCAGGTCAGGATGACACTCAGGTAAGTAACCCAACTTACTCTGAGGTAAGTAGGGTTAGGACTGCAGTCTAGGTCTGGATCCTACGCTTTCTTCCCAGCCATGAAGGCTTGTCCTATATATTCAACTTGAACCTGTTCTGTGAGATAGGGCCATGACTATGCAAATGTCCTGCTTAGCAAGAATAGTCCCAATTTGCATGTAGTTTCCAGAACCAGACTTAAGAATCGTGTGCCAACTCATAAGTGGGATCTTCACATTTTTTAAAAAATCATTCTCTTGTGTCTGAATTTCTATGGCAGATCCACAGAAAAGCTGTAGGCGTATACCTCATTTCCATCCAACCCATTGCTCTTCCCCATGAAATAAATCTGCACTGTTTATTTTCTGAGAAAGTATAGGAACCTCCAATTCCTCCTGTAATATATGTCAGTGTATCTCCAGCCGCATTCACACATTACTCTCAGTTGTAGGAGAAGTGAGATGCTACCACTGCCCCTTAGGTCCATGCACTGAACTCAGGCATCTGAAGAGGAACCCCTTTGTGTGAAGAGTTGCTCAAGCAAGGGAGCTCCTCTTCTGATGTTCATGCCTGACATGCAGATACCAGGGTGAGGCCAACAGAGCTCCTTCTCCAGTGCATGTTCTTTACCTGCGAGGGCTCTAGAGAAGTCTTCTTCTGTGTCTTGTGAATGTCTCCGGGCAAGTCTCACTCTCCTCTCTCTCTGGCTCTCTCAGCCATGTTCTAGGCCAACATACACTAACCTGCACACTCCAAATGTTGTTGGACTCCAGCTCCAATTGGCCACAGTCTGCATGGCCAGTACTTGGGGGATGATGGGAGTTGTAGTCCAGCAGCATCTGGAGGACCAAAGGTTAGCCATTCCTATTCTAGGCTGTGTTACAATGTTAGCCCATCACCTGGAGATAAACCTTCTAGGTGCTGGTGTGCATCAGTGTGTATGCACCCTGAGCCAGTGTATAAACAACAAGAGGATAACCTTCGCTCACAAAGCAGCTGTGATTAAGTTGCATTTTATGTTGTTCAGCATAGTTTTTGCTTCCTGGTATAATACATGGGGGCAGGATACACAATTCACTCAGCTGTGTGGCATGTCCTGACTCTGCAGGGATAGAATCTGTTCTCTGGCCTAGTGGCACTAGGCTGTTGGCCTGGGGAAGCCCAGCCGATAACAACAGCCTGCTGTGGCCCATAGCATCCCTTCAAGCCAAGCTCTGGAGTACCAGGTTCCTGTTCCATGGAAGGCCTTAAGGCCACGTGGCTTCTAGCCCAGTCTAATTAACATACAGCCCAGCCTGCATGTTATATCTTTACTGCCCCTTTGGCAGTTTTGTTTGCTTGGTTACTACTGAATAAAAAAGGGACCCACCCTTGGATTTGTGGGTCATTTGGGCGCAGAAAGAAAGAAAATAGTCTGCTCCAATTAATTAAACAAACGGATAAAAACTGTCCCTGCTTAAATTGTACTTTGCATATCCATAATCTCTGCACTACATTTTATGTATACTTTACCCTTGGGTAAAAAATTGTGAGGATATAAATGCTTTCTCACATAATCTTGCTAAAGCACATTCCTGCCTATAAATATTCATACTACTGCCAAAACATTTACAAGGTTTCCCCAAAGGTGAAATATGTGTAATGTACTTTGCCTTCTGGGTATAAATATTATCCAATACATTTTGGTTAATATGAATACACTAATTATTCTTGTAACCCTTTTTAAAAGGGTCATCCTCATGATGTGAATTTTTTTAAAAATGTAATTACAGTAATTGGATACTTAATCTAATTAAAATTGGCTTTATCTTTAATGGGAATTTTTCTAAAGACACAGAATGACAATTGACTTTTTGATAATCACTGTTTTTCTTTCTGCTGGAGAATGCATTTAAGGATACTAGAAACCACAGCCTTCGCACCATCTGCCAACTACCTTTGGATCCAAACTTTGGTTTTCTCCATTGCAGGCAAAATATTCCTGCTAATTATGAGATAGGAGTATGCTCACATTTTATGATGCTATTGATTTTCATCGAGACACAGCTATGCTTGATTAAAAGGGCCCAGGAAGGGCTGACTAGAACATACAGATTTTGTCTACGTGCAACCTCAACTGGGAGGGGGCATTAATATGTAGCTAAGCTTATTTATTCACGAAAACATTTATATCCCACCCTCTATCAAAGATTTTAGGAGGGGAAAACCAATACAGTGGTACCTCAGGTTAAGTACTTAATTCGTTCCGCAGGTCCGCACTTAACCTGAAACTGTTCTTAACCTGAAGCACCACTCTAGCTAATGGGGCCTCCCGCTGCCGCCACGCCGCTGGAGCACGATTTCTGTTCTCATCCTGAAGCAAAGTACTTAACACGAGGTAATATTTCTGGGTTAGCGGAGTCTGTAACCTGAAGCGTATGTAACCTGAAGCATATGTAACCTGAGGTACCACTGTAATTAAAACACACATAAAAGGTCCCCTTATCTACAGATCAGAAGTGGATAAACAATAAAACAATAAATAATCTTAAAACGCAAGTTATGGTTATTACAAATTAAGAGTGAGCTGAATGATGACCAGAAGCTTGAGTAAATAACCAGATTTTAAACTGTCACTGAAACGAAAACAAAGTTCATGCCAGGCAGAATTCATAGAGGAGAGCATTCCACCTGCAGAATTCTGCCATGGAGAGGGTGCTCTCTTGTGTCATCACATCAAATGTAATTCCCAAGGATGGGACTCTAAGGATATTATTGCTTGAGTGCTGTACACAAGTTACATGTTGACTTAATGTAAAAGATGGGACTTGAAATAGCTGATCTCTGGTAGGAATGGTAAAGGATTTTCTTTTACTCTGCAATTTGGTGTTATGTGCCCTGTTGGATCCTGTCGAATCGGAGCAGAATGTAGACCTGTGATTTAGGCCTCAGGCCTACCTGCCTTTCTGAGCACTGGTTCCATTTTCTTACCTATGTGGTTGGCTGAGGGATGCTTCTTATTTTTTCATCTGTGAATGGTGTTTGGCTGCATGGAGCAGCTTTAAAGCTTGGCACCTCTGTACTCTCCTCACTTGTGGAACCCAACAACTGGTATACAAAGTCCCCCAATGGTGAAAGGAAAACATAGCCATCATGGTAGCCATTGATAGTAAAACATAGCCATTATTGACAGCCTTATCCTCCATGAATAATCCTCTTTTAAAGTCATCCAAGACGATGACCATTGAAAAATGGTTCTCATTTCGGTGTATATTTCTTTGCTCCCATAAGCATAAGAACAGTGATCAAAGAGCCAGAACCACAGCAAAAGAAATTTACATTGTTTTTTAAAATTACTGATGAATTGAGAAAAAATTCTTTAAAATAGTAAAAGCACAATAGAAAATAAACAGAAAATTACATAAAACGATCACAATATAATAGATGAAACAATTACAATGGTGATACTGCAAACTCTAAATAGAAGAAATATAAAACTACATTAGCTGCTTATGGTGTACCAAGAAATTATAAATGAAAAATGAAAGTACAGTATAAGAAAGCAATTGTCCTAACAGACTCCTTGCTGTCCAGCTAACTTAAAAGCTAAAGCAGAAGAAAGTTTCACAATATTATAAGGCTTTCTAAATCAATATGGGGAAAGTTATTTATTTATTTATTATTGAATTTATAAACCGCCCTATACCCAGAAGTCTAAGGGCAGTTCACAGAATAAAATAAAAATATAAAACCACAAAAAAACCATCAAAAAACCCAACAACAACCCAAAGTTACTTAAGATGTTAAAGGAAGTAAATTATACATATGAGATACTGGTATATATTGATCTAGTATTGAGATAAACTTTAGGAGCTTTGGTGCATAAATGATTTTAAATACATAAATGATATTAAATTAGGAAAATATTAATCAGAAGTCCATGTCTACCAGATGTCTTGTGGTGTGGTCTACTGTTTTCCACTGGAAGATTTGTTAGCAGAAGTAACCCATGAGGAATAGGAAAAATCAAAAACAGGATGAAAAGTAAAAATAATAATAAAAAACCCTAAGAAGAAACTAGCCTCTGTGTGTCCTGTGCTGGAAATAATACTTTCCTCTTAGCAAACAGACAAGCTTCTCAAATGCATATAGGACAGATCTGTTCACTATCGCTCAACAGTACCAGGCCAACACATCAGGCATAGGCAAACTCAGCCCTCCAGATGTTCTGAGACTACAATTCCCATCATCCCTGACCACTGGTCCTGTTAGCTAGGGATGATGGGAGTTGTAGTCCCAAAACATCTGGAGGGCCGAGTTTGCCTATACCTGCAGCACACCTTCAGGACAGGTGCTGTTGCCATTGATAAAACACCCCCCATTCCAGTCTGCCTTACAGAAGAAAGTTCAGCTAGCAGCAGCACCTTACAGAATGGAAAGGAACCTCCTTCTTTCTAAATGATGTAACCGAAAGCTGAGGCAGAGGAAGAGAAAACGAAAAATATCTCCACCTGTCTTATATTGGTAAGGTAAAAATAACGAGCTGGAAGTATTTCATTATACTTAACAGAAAAAGCTTCTAAGCAAACAGGTGAAATTTATCTATGGTATTTATTTATATGGCCTCCATGATTACTGCCATAACATTTTATTCTCACAGCTATATGAAGTAGGGGGTTTATCTCTTCTGTTTTCTAGAGCAAGAGACAAGGCACAGAGCAACAAAGTGTGTCCAGGAAGGATATGGGAGGATCAGCAAAATGAGGGATGTAATGTTGAAGAAGACAAGTCAGACAATAACCAGGGCCCAAATACATACCACTACAGGAAATTTAAGGATTGTGTGCCTCATGAGTAACTAAGTAGTTTCATCCAAGCAAGTCTATAATTTTCTGGAGATCATGCCTTTTGATAACATTGGCACATTCCTGTTCTGAAACCAGAATCAGGCCTCTGTTCTTCTATTCTTCTATTCTTCTATTCTGTCGTCAGCCTGTTGTTTGGTCTTTGGGATACTTCTTAATGTGTAGCATTCCTGACGAAATGAATACACACACAACCACTGACACATACACCATGTTCAGCACCACAAGGGGATGGGGCAGAATGGGGCGGGCTTACGTGCGTCCCGCTGACATGCGTGCTAACATCCCACATAAATGGGCAATTGCCTGTCCTCCCCATATATGTGAGAGATACAATGCTCATTTTTCATTGCTTTCAGACAGATTTGCCAGAACGTAGCCAGATATAACCTGTACCTCAGTCCTGCCCCACACCTTAGACTTTGAACATTGCTTACTTTTAATATAAGCATGGGAAGTGATATTGTTCTTATCATTTAAAAATACTTTCCAGTCACATTGTATGAATTTGGCCTCCATAATTACAGCGGAACCTCAGTTTCCGAGCATCTCGGAAGCCAAATGTTTCAGAACCCAAACTCTGAAAACCCAGAATTGCTTCCGTTTTTGAACGCACCTCGGAAGTCGAACGGCTTCCGCTGCGTGTTTTCCAGTTTCGCTCAATGGAAATTGCAGATGGCCATTTGCGCCTCAGTTGTCAAACGTTTCGGAAGTCGAACGGTCTTCCGGAACATATTACGTTCCACAACTGAGGTGCCACTGTGATGTTTGGTCAGAATTTCGTCGTGAGAATATTGATAAAAATTAACATGGCATGCTGTGCTTGGTATACACCAATCCATATATTCCCTTTGGTGTATGGAAAGGCAGTTTATCTGTGCAGCTGCATCTCATCTGTAACTAAGTTAGATACACTGGTGATACAATTATATAATAATAATAATAGTATCAGCAACCAATAGCAGTAGTTCTACATAAGCTATTTTTCTGCTTGATGAAGATTTTGTATATGTTAGTATAAGTTAGTCCACTGTGATCTTTGCTGGTCCTCAGGTTCCCAAATTCCAAATATTTCCCTTCCATTGTTTCAGTAGTCCAACAAAAAACCTTTTTAAAGGGAATGTCCATCCTTGAATAACCGGAAGATTCATAGAAGCAAGGCTTTTGGCTCCCAGAAGGTGGCAGCATCCCTCTAGAAAAACAAGCAGTAATGCTCATTCTTATGATTTCTGTTCTACAGTTATTTGCCAGTGGGTCACTGATAGGTTCAAGGTCCTAATTTATTTATTCATTTATATTTTTAAAAAGTAAAGGCACATATGATCAGATAATCGTACTTAGGTGATGGTCAAAAGTAATAATGATAGGACTCATTACAACTTTGAAATGTGCTTGCCTTTTCAGTGGTTCACATGATGCTTTCATTCACCCAGATGGAAGCTGAGGGACCTTCTTGATCATTCTTTATTCGATTTCCGTCACATACAGCAATCACAAGCATTAACATTAACTAAACACCTTCTTGTTGGGTATTGAATCGCCGTTGTCACGCCTCTCATGCTTTCTCTGCATTTTCCTGCCCTGTGTCACGACAGAACTATTTACGGTAACCATTAAATCGGAATCGACATTCAACCCCCCATCTGGAAGAATGGACTAGCACTTCTGGCACTGCGTGAAACTCGATGAAAGTCAGCCAAATGTCCTGAAAAAGTAATAAGGAATGTGGCACTTTACCAGGAGCAGCAATATGCTAAATACGTTGCTAAGTAGACTGCAACATGCTGATGAGGTTGTCTGAAATATTCCATTTGCTTTCAAGAACTGTACAAGCTTAAATCTCTAATGTTTAAGTTGAGCCTGATTTCTGATTAATATGTCACAAAGCTTTTCCACGATTTTGCATACACTGACAGGCAACGTAGCGAAAAAGTAACTGATCGGTGAAATGCAGAGAGGGAGAGGGGGGGATCTAGTCTGCTTGGCCCCACCCATTTCTTAGTCTTTATTGCCTTTTCGTTGATGCCACCCATCTGATTCATGCTAACAAAAATAGGGCCGCACTCCCTTCTTTAGGTAAAAGGCTGCTGGGAAGAGTTATTCTGTAGTCCTCATCACCTGGTCACACATAACTTCATCCCGTTTCATTAAAGCCTTCTTATGATGAGCTACAAGTTAACAAAGATTTTATCTCTCCATTGACTCAAAAAAACCACTCAGCTAGATTTTAGTGAGCCACAAATGTGCCTTTTACAGTAAGTGAAATGTTATGGGGAGATGGGATAAAAGAAAAAAGTCTGAAGGAGGCTAAGCTGTTATCACTCCTGGCTGTTTGTCATGCTTCTGTCGCAGCAAAGTTGGGAAGTGTGTGAATGCGGTCAGTGGTTTCTGACGGAAAAGAAGCACTGCTACACTGAGGGGTCCTAATTTTACTTTTAGAGAGACGGATGATCCAATAATGTTACTTCAGTGATTGTCAAAAGCAATAACGACAGCACTTATCATAGCTCCAAAGTATGGCTACTTCTCTAATGAAACAGTACTTGATGATCCATAACTGTGTTACCATCACCCCAACCCTGGCTGCAGAAAGTGGAGCAGGATACAAGGCAGAGGGATCTATCTATCTATGTATCTATCTATCTGTGGGGGTTGGACAGAAGCCTTGTGCACGTCCATTCCACTTAATACCTGTAAGGTGGCATGGTGTGAAATGGCATATCCAATATTGCTGCTTCCACCAAAAGGATAGTGTGTTGTCCATTATTCTTCTCAGCCATAAAAGACTAATGAGTGTCAATTCCTGCTTGTGCTAATGCTATTCATGTCACTTAAAAAAAACAACAACAACCTCACACACTCCTCAAAATATGCTGAAGTATAGTGCAGTACCGTGTTTGTGTCTAACAAGATCTCTGAATTCCAGAGCTGTTTCTTGCCACCCACAACCCTTCTCCCTGAGATTGTACAGTTTGATGTTGTCCTGTTCCAGGCAGCCTGACAGACCAGGGGGCAAGGACTAACTGGAATAAGAGCTGTCCAGCCGAAAGTGACAGTTTCCAGGTAACAGGTGGTAAGGGATGGTCAGCACCTCGGAAAGCTCCCAGGCAAGACAGATGTTACTCTCACAATAAGGTTTCTGTATTTCTGCCATTAGCTCAGGCATTAAATGTTCTTCCAAGATGAAGCACACATGGTTATTCCTCTGGTTTGCCTTCAGGCAGCCTTGGTCAAGTTGAGAACCATGGGATTCCCATTGACCCACACAAGGTATCCAAGGTCTGGGACACAGCGAAGCAGAATGCATGGGATTTCACAGCCAAGGCTTAATGTGGAAACTGCCGCATACCTCAACTTCTCAGCCTGTGTACTTGTGTGTTTGTGTAGGATTCAATATCTAAGCTGCAAAGTCGTTTTTCCAACATGGGAATTAATCTCTGCATAACGTAAGAAGTGACATGACTTTTAAGATTGTCCCTCAGGTTGTTTTGAGACATCACTTCCAGTAGTGATGGTTGTGAGAAAGCAGCCCTCCCAACTGAAATGATCTTCCCTGATCTTCCTGCCAGGGAGCATCTGCACTACCATTGGTCTTTCGTTCTGACAATAACCCTTCCCAGATGTTGATCCTGCAAAGTTCATGTGGACTGACAGCATCACTCCCCGTTGCCCATCTGGTGGGTATTCAGCTCTCTGATTCACAGAGTGTAAAATCTTGTTGCAAATCTGAACTCCATGGAAGACATGTCACAGACTTCTTAATTGCAGAGGTAGGAGTAACTAGACAAAAATAACTGGCAATGCTGTTTACCATTGGTCTTGCAGGTTTCAGTTTGTGTGGTAACAGTGTTCCGTACGCAGAAAACAGGAGCAGCCAGCTAATTAATCAATTCATCAATCTTTTGCACTTAAACATAAGAGAGGGCTGTGCAAGCAATTGAACAAACAAACAAATGAGCAAACAGAAAAGAATTACAAATTAAGATCAAAAAGTCCTGGATCACAAGCTGAGGCTTTTTTTTTTTATCCAAAGCTTAGAAACCTTGGATAATGATAGGCACGTTTTATCTCAGCATATTCAGACAGCATATAGAAGGGTAGCTGTGGTACTCTGCTATAACAGAGAGTTTTGTGGCACCTTAAACTCTGACAGAAACATTATGGGTCATGCCATAATAAATTTGTTAATCTTTAAGAAGGCCCAAGAGCCTAACAAATGTATTATGGTTAATGCTAATAATAAATTTGCTAGTCTTTAAGGTGTCACAAGACCCTTGGTTGTTCATGCAGCAGGACACAGTGGCAAGTCTTGATTTTGTGGCTTGTGTGCCCATACTGTATACAGTCTTTCAATTTACACCTTCGTTTTCCTATGTACACATGAAAACTGTAATGTATGGAGTAGCTTTTAAAATTTGATCATCCCTTCATCTGCTAATGCGGAGCTGTGGTGAACTAGCTGTAGAAAGCAAGTAGAAGCTTCATTATACTAAACTAAAATGATTACATAAAGCAGGGTACAAATTATGAGTGAAATTTCTAGAATTATAGAGTTGAAGGGAGGTAGGGGGCTTGTAAGCCATACAGCCCAGCCCTTGACCCCAGATCCATGCAAAGAATCTGAAGCTGTGGGGACACGACAAGGGTGTCCTCTATCCCCCCTTTTATTTATATCAGTCCTGGAGGTGCTATTGAACATGATCAGGGAGGACCGGTTGGTACAAGGGATAGAGGTCGGAGTGAAACAATATAAATTGAAAGCCTTTGCAGATGACTTAGTTTTAACATTACAGGAGCCAGAACCCAGTACAAAAAGAGTTTTAGAACTCATAGCAGAGTTTGGTCGGGTGGCGGGATTTAAGTTGAACAAACAAAAGACTAAGGTTCTGACCAAGAATTTGACATCTACAGAAGCAGAGGGGTTCCAGAGAGAAACAGAATTAACTGTGGTTAAAAAAGTGAAATACCTAGGGATTTATTTGTCTTCCAAAAACTTGAATTTATTTAAAGACAACTATGAAAAATGTTGGTTGGAAATCAAAAAGGATTTAGAAATTTGGTCAAGACTGAAACTTTCCTTGTTAGGTAGAATTGCGGCTATAAAGATGAATGTATTGCCGAAAATGTTATTTTTGTTCCAAACCCTTCAGATTGTGGACAGAGTGGAATGTTTTGGAAAGTGGCAGAAGGATATATCCAAGTTTGTC